GGGTTGGGGGTTTTGGTGTTGGGGGATGGGGGGGGGGGGGGGGGGGGGGGGGGAGGGCGGGGGCAAGATTTGTGTGTGTGTGTTTTTAATTATTATTAGCATCGACCGCGCTAACCGGCTGACCAATGAAAATACGTCAGTCTTCTATTTAGTGTGTGTGTTTGTTAGCTAGTGTTTGTGTTGATGGTATTGACCGCGCTTACCGGCTAACGAAAGAACAGACAGACTTCTCAGTTCGGCTGAAAACGGAAAACGCTTCAAGAATAGAAGCATATGGTAAAAAGTAAGGCCATGATCTGAGGTCCCGTGAGGGGGGGTCAAAATAGGGAAGAAGCTAGGCCTACTCTCCAGATTAAAGACAGAAACGTCAGCAGATGAAATGTGCATGTGTGTGTGTGCCCCCAAAACATCATGCACGGCCGCAGTGTCCACCCACTACCGTACCACAAGGCCCATCGCACGCATTACTTTATTTTCTTAGGCGCGATATAGGTTCTGTGAATCTCACGGCGAGACGCTTCTGAGCTACCGTATTAATTGTCCCAACGCTGCCATCATTGGACCACAACCTCAACGCATTCGTTTTGAAACAATTGGAGAGAAGCCACACCCAACCTCCTTGAGGTGATTGGACAGACCGGGCGCCTTGAGTTGGGCGGGTAACGCTATCACATCTACGCTTCCCTATGCATCAATGGGCGGTGGCGATGGCGGTTGTTGCATAAATCTTACGGTACCTGTCAATCTTGGTCTGGTTGGTCGAAGCCACCTGGCACTGGTCGCACGCCATGCAGCACGTGAAGAGCCCGAACATGATGGAGATGGCCGTCAGGGCAACGGTCGCCGCGTGGTCGGACGGCGAGAGGCGACACTCCTCTGAACGACGGTCGTCCCCGATAAGTACCATTACGACCAGTTCGATCATCAACGCGAACCTGGGCAAGGGGGGGGGGGGGGGCATACGGGCAGACGAAGGGAGAGACAGTTGGGAGCGAGGGGGGTACTCAGAGGGAGAAATACGAGGTCACGAGAAGAGAGAGTAAGGAAGGAAGAGAGACGAGACCGGCACACGTTAAAGCCGAAGGAGGAGCGCGATGGAAACAACAAACAAGGCCGGTTAGTTCCCCCACGATGCCGTTGTGGTGGTGTGTACACAGCACGCTGTCACAGCCATCATCACCCTTACCCGCCAGGTCTACAGACAAGCGACCCCATGACCATGGCTGCCCCAAAACAAAGACCAAAAGCCGTTCCTGTCTCTTTGCTATACTCCTCATATGCAGCACGCGTTACCGGTCGACAACGAAAAAAACACTCACACACAAAGCGCGCAAGTGTAGGCGCAGAACAGCAAGAAGAGCTTCTGGTTTCCGATGCCCACGCAATTGTTCACCCACGGGCAGTGGTGGTCCATCTTGACGATGCACCGCTGGCAAAGGCTGCAATGGTGAGCCCGTGCTGGCTTAAAGGCGTCGCACCTGCTTTATTCGTCCACGGAGAAAAGGTGGCCTGGTTGACGCTTGCCATCGTTCTAGCTTTGCGTTGGGGTGAAAAGCAAGCCACCCGCACGAACACGTACTGCTTGCTGTCTGAATGGTTTGTTTCGCATTGGATATATGGGCCGGTAAGGATTTCCTCAGTGCCAGCGTATTCGTGCGCGTTGCGCGCCGATCATGTGATGTACACCCCGCAAACGGCATCATACATACCGCTGGTCCCCAAAAGTACAACTACAATCCCGCTCGGTGTTCATGAAATGCGCCAGCATGGGAAACGATCAGGATATCAATCGGTGTCGCACAAAAAACAAGCTGGTCGAATCAAACCGCATCGGTGCCGTCTGAGAATATCACTGCTGCCACCCCTCTTTTCCCACCACGAGTCGGGGTCTGAACAACTCAACCCAACGCGGGTTCACTTCCCTCTCTCTCGAAACATACTGCTGTATGTACGTACGCGCCAAGAGAGTGGCCATCCATCCCACAACAACCATGTCCTCTCTTACTTGTAGCACCACTTCAACGCACGCTGCTGCTCGCCCCGACCCTCCCCCTCCTGCCTCTCCCGCCGCTGGCCCGCCGACGACGTCGGCAACAACGCGCCGCCCCTCTCCTCTGGAGGAAGCGAGCCCTGGGTCGGTGGCGTTGCCGCGGCAACAACAGCACCCGACGAAGAGGACGCCGGTGTTTTCGTGAGGCGAGTGGTTTCCAGGTCGTTCTCTTCCTCCTCGCCCCGACCACCGCGATTAACCCCCCCCTCCCCCCCTCCGCCGGTGTCGGGTGGCGGCGGGGCCGCGTCTCGCGGCACCGCTCCGGGGTTCGTGAGCATCGTCCTCACGTGCGCCGTCGCGGCGACGGCGGCGAGGGAGACGAAGGCCAGGGAGGTGAGCACCTTCGGCGCGGACAGGCACTGCTCGAACGGGGTCGGGCGCAGCAGCACCGAGGTCACCATGTAGACCGAGAAGAGCAGCATGGACCATGTCGCCAGGACGCACAGGATCCCGCACGCGTCGAGGTTGCACCAGAAGCGCGCCCTGTTTTTGCAAGCCGGGCGCGCGCGGGGGGGGGGGGGGGGGAA